CCTTGAATTAGTCTTTTATTAGTCAACAAGAGTTTGATGTACGTGAATTAGTCTTTTATTCATATTCTGATGAGACTTAATCGTGTTACCACCAGCACAACGATCCAGTCTTTCTCTGAGAAGTTATCAGTTCTAGCCATAACTGTGAGAAGAATGATCATGGAGAGCTTCGGACTCTTGAAATACATGGATGAACATCTTAATTCCACGAATTACCTCCTGAGAGTGATGAAATACCAAGGACCTGGTACAGAGGAGCCCAAGTTGGGGCTACCCGCTCATATGGATTCAAGCATGCTCACTATACTTTACCAAAACCATGTTCATGGCCTAGAGGTACAAACAAAAGACAAGAACTGGACCAAAGTGAAGCCATTACAAGATTCTTTCATCGTTCTGATCGGAGTTTCTTTCTATGTAAGTCTTGCCTGCTTCAAAAACAGAATCTTTGCTTGAGAATCCATACAAGAACAACTCAAAATGTTTGTTTTTTCATGTCACAGGCATCGCTGAATGGTCGGTTACACCCTCCTAATCACCGTGTCATGATGACAGGAACAACCACGAGATACTCACTCGCATTACTCTCGGTTCCAAAAGTAGGACATCTCTTGAGTTCACCAGATGAGCTCGTCAACGAAGAGCATCCACGACTCTATAAGCCCTATGAGTTTTACGAATTCCTTACCTTTTTCAACAGAGATCCATCACAGAATTCTCTATCTGCTCTCCATACTTACTGTGGAATGTGAATAACCCAAAAAATGATTTCTCAATCATTTCTGCGTGCCCTAAAAAGCTTTCTCATTTGGTTGCTTCTCAATAATTTATGTGTACCCTAAAATGCTTTTGCTTCTCAATAATTTATGTGTACGGCAGGGGCGGAGGCACATGGAATGGGGAAGGGGCAGCTGCCCCTATGAATTAATTATAAGTAGTGTAATTAGTAAAAGTAAAATATTAATGCCCCTATTTATAATAACTTTTTTGACCCCATTGATTTTATTTGTCTTTCACTTACTTTTTTTCCAAATAAATTGAATTTTGTGTCCACCTAATTTTTTTATAACTAAGTGGATCTATATTTTTCACAATTATATTTGCTTACTAAAATTAGTCACTAGACTATAAGTAAACTAGATTTAKAAAATAAATTTAGAACTAAACATATGGTATTGATATCTCAAGGACCTATATCTTAATTGTACTAAAAACATTTTTTTTGGTTATTTGTCTACAAAACTTACATAAATAAACAATTTAAGTTTTCATTATATTATTGAATTAATATTTTGTTATGATTTACTATCTTTTTATTATTGTATTAAGTACAATTTTATTTGTGTAAGTCAAATTCTTCATAAATCCGTCACATATTCAATACAATAAATATTTTATTATAAACTTCAAACATTTTTTTTGTGGAAACTTGTTTAGAAAAAAATAATATTTTTAACAAAAACTATGTAAAATCGTGACGGAATTTGCGATAAAATAAATTTTTTCTTTAAAAAGAATATTATATTTTATATAGTACTAGTTAAATATTCTGCCCCCGATAAAATTGTTTTTGGATCCGCCACTGGTATACCCTTTTTTATCAATAATAATTTCTGTTAATTACTAGCTCAAGATAGTTGTTCACTTGTTCTTGTGTCATGATTCTCTTAATTTATAAATATTCAATTGTTTAAAAATAAATATCAAAAAGAAAAAAAATCTTGTGATTATCCAAAAAAGTTGTCGAAGAAACAAGAAGGTACTACTATGTTTGAAATTTCCAAATCAACCTAGAAACACTTAGAAACTTCTCAAACATATCAGAAAACTTTACATTAAATCAAAAACCTCTCTTTATAAACCCCCAACAATTCTTGGCTTTTTCTACCCAACCCCAAACAAAGAAACTAAAACAAATATTAAGAAATTGATCTATTTGTAAACAATGGCTCTAGCTCGTTTGGCTTTGAGAAACTTTAAACAAAAGTTGTCTCCTATTTGATGGGTCAATCTTGTGAAAGGAGTTTGGTCGGAAACCGACATAACCAGAGGAATTTGAACAGACTCATGGCTACTTCA